AACACCTGGATAGTTGGGTAAAATGTCAGTACTGCTGAAAACCAGTATTTTTGCCACTGTCTTTACTGTATCATTGATTAATCTGTCTTTGTACTCAAGAATTTCAAGCCGACATTGTATTTGGTAACATTGATTTCTTTGGTACCTACTTGATCTGCATTTGTAGTAGTGTTTATAGTCTCTTTCTTAAAGAGAAGTTAACAGCAAAAAAAAAAGGCAGAGTGGATTCCAGGCACTGATCCTGTCACTGAAATGTAAGTGATGAATCCGTGGAGAATTAGAGCCTTCACTCCCAGCCGTTAGAGGGGTGCACACATTTGCCACCTCCAGCCTTGCTGCCTCCTGCCAGTTGTGTTCGTCTTCATCTGAAGCTTCTTTTTAAAAGTTTATGTCAAATTAGAGGTGACCATGTAATCACAGTCTTATCCTACTGTTTTGACTATCTGTTGACTATGCATGGCTGTTACTTGCTTTGTGACCAGTGATGAACAGTTGGGCTCACTTGCATCTGTAAATTCAGATGCTTTTTTAGAGCTGTCCCAAAGAACTTTGCAATCATCACTTAAGCCAGGCAGAATTTCCAGCTCTTCATACCCTTCTAAACAGGTAGCACCCTTCTAAGAAAGGGTGTGCGTAGAAAAAGAAATACAAATTTTAAAAGATGTAAAAATATATTGACCAGTGATGAACAGTTGGGCTCACTTGCATCTGTAAATTCAGATGCTTTTTTAGAGCTGTCCCAAAGAACTTTGCAATCATCACTTAAGCCAGGCAGAATTTCCAGCTCTTCATACCCTTCTAAACAGGTAGCACCCTTCTAAGAAAGGGTGTGCGTAGAAAAAGAAATACAAATTTTAAAAGATGTAAAAATATATTCAAAAAGGTAGTGTGCGTAGAAAAAGAAATAAAAATTTTAAAAGATGTAAAAATATATTAAATTCAAAAAGGTCCAGCAAGTAAGGTCTGGCTCCACAGGGAGAGGTAACTAAAGCCTACAGCACAAACAACATCTAAATATCCAAGGATGTAGGCTGCCTGCCTATCCTCAAAGAACATTCCTGTAGCATTCATAAATATTAAGGTCATTCCATAGCAGAACTAACTAAGAATTAGTGACAGGTATGCAATGTTTTGATTTAATCATCAGCTTTAATGTGGTTGTGTAATTCCACACACATGCCTGCAGCCAGTCCCCAACATCTCTTAGAAGCATCCTGCAGTCATGCTCATCACAGCTCCTGACCAGTGTGGGGTCAGCTGTCCAGCCCTGGTGCAGGCAGCTCCCTCGGAGGGAGTGGGGCTTTGGTTTGGTCGTTGGGCAGTTCTCCCAGCAGGAAAGTCAAGGGGTGTGGATGTACATCTGCAGGGCAGTTGGCAAGACTGAGGAGGGGCAGGCAGCCAAAGTTTGCCGTGGAGGAAAGAGCAATTACAGCGAGGGGGAGGAAGGGTTGTGCAGCTCCAAGTACAGCACAATCCTGATTTTGGCCAGTAAATGTTACGGTAACTAATTATTCTCTCCTCTTCTTGTCATCTTCAGTCCAGTGATAGATGACATGACAAATCTGTGCTAACTTCCTTAAACGACAGGTTTCCAGATCCTTTCTGTTCAAATGTAAGCCCATGGTTGAAGTTTCCCTTTTTATGGGAACACATGGATTTGGTTAAACCTTCTGTATATGCCAGGGAAACCCCACAGAAAAACAGTCTTTCCTGCTATCCCTGCTCCTGTGTGCTGCTGTTTCCCAAGGTGGAAAATTGAAAATACTCAACAATAAATGTTTATTGCTGTAACACTTAGATGTTTGAAATCATTTAAGGGAGTTTTTTTCATTTCAGTGTTACTTTATTTAACTGTTATTAGTTCTGTGGTTTTTAGATCTCTACATCCTGACCAACAAAATGGTCGGAATTTATTCTGGGCTGTGTCACTTCTTGAAGTCTAAAGGATAAAAAGGGATGCTTATCTCCTGTCAAGCTCCTTGGAGAGCTATGAGGAAATGAGCAATAAAAGGTTCTTTGAGGATCTTTAAACTGTAGTTTATCATCTATTATAGTTACTGATGTGTGGAAACCAACAGAAATATTTTACATGTTTATAGTTTCAAAACCATTAACAGCTGTAGCTATGAGCTGAGCACTTACAGCTTTTGGAATTGTCTTTTTATAAATGTAACATTAAATCATTATGATTTTGTAAACCAGTCTCTTTAGAACAATTCCCAAGGTCACAATATGTGGGTTGATATACTCAGTCAGGGCTGGTTGGTGGGTACTCACTGGCCCTTGTTCCTTTTCTAACTCCACCAATGCACAATATGGGCTTTTGGGGGGGCAGGATTGATGATGGGCAGAATGCATGAAGGAGTGCTGCATTTTATTTCCCCTTGCTGGATGCAGTGCTGGATGGGAAATTAGGATGGGGAGAAGAAAACTGGGTAAATCAAGGAACACTCAGCATAACAAAGGACTCAGAACTGTGCAAGCCTCTTTCCCCTTGTGGGGACTCGAGGACATGGCATATGGCTCCACATTTCTTTATTCCTTAGAGAGACAGATCTGAAACTTGCAGAGACTCAGACCTTAGGGGCACTGGTCAAGTAATTGCAATGGAGATAGCTTACTTCCCACAGGGTGACAGGCTCTTTATTACCATCCTCATGGGTCTTCTAATGCAACTTTAGGACAGGACTGTGCATTGTCCTCCCCTCCTCATTTCTCTTCTCATCTGGCTTGGGTGGACTTCTTGCTTCGAATCCTCTCCACTGGAAATGGAGAAACTATTGAGCCATTTCAATCCAGTGCAAAGGATGACATGAAGGGGACTGTTCTCAGCCCATACACATTGCTTGTTAATAGTATTGCCAAGGGCATGCAATAAAACAAACACACTGAGAACACAGACCTGTCAACTCTTGTCTCTTGCATAAGAAATTTGCTCTTTGGCATTCGGATTGCTGTTCACTACTGTCATGCCTGTACCATCCACAGTTACACCATTGCAGCCATGGTATGGGTGGCTGTCTGGTCTGGAAAGTCTGTTCCTCTGCCAGGGACATTCCCCAGAGGCCCCTGAGTGTTCCTGACATGATCCAGCATGCAGATTTATCCATCGCACACTTGCATGCTTGTCCCTGGCCAAACATGAGTCCCATGCAATGGGATTCCAGTAACTCAAGAATTATGCAGCAGTAAAACAAACATAAGCCATTCAACTTCCAAAAACTGCATTAAGCCAGAAGAGACAATGTTGTTACTGCAGGTCTGTTTTAAATCAACCCAAATATTATTCTGGAGCCACAGCTATAATTCAGTAAAACTTGATACAATCTTGGAAAGCCATAGAAAGCATTAGGAAATACCACTGGAAGCTGAGACCTACAGATACTGCAATAATTTGCATTTTAAACTAAATAGACATACCACTCAAATACTAATTGGGGCATACTGCAGAGGATGATGGGTTACCTTTTCAACAAAAATCCTTAAAATTCAGAAGGGTTTGTCTGCATGCAAAAAACTGAACCATTTTCCCAGTGCTACCTGCAGCTGAAATATTGCATACATAGGAAAGTTACATCCATATTGCCACAGAGGTTGGCTCAGTGGTATTGCTAAATGCCATACTTTGATGAACATTTAGGCTACTAGTAATGCTGACTTCCAGGATTTTACAGCTCTGCAGAGAAGTTCTGAGGGTAAGGGGTGAGGTGCAAGAGAGAGGTCTGCCCTCCCTTCAGGGGCAGCTACTGCTGCTCTTCTTGTGCAGAGGCTCTTAAGAAGAAGAGATTAAAATGTTCAGTGGCATTTTTCATGAAATGTTAGATTTTAGGATTGGGTTTGCTTCCTCTATAATTTTCCTTTAATGGAACATTGATTCTGTCCATTTTGCACATATGTGTATTGAGTTTCTCCACATATTTCACTTGAGAGGGAAGGTAGCTGATGCAAAAAAGTTAAATGACTTGCCATGTGAGAAAAAACTGCTTTAGAGCTAGCATTGGAGTACACCAGAGCTGCTTTCTACCTCTCCTGCATCCGTTTCTGTGTTGTGTTTCTGCCTAAACAGGAAGGGTAAAATATCATAGACTCATAGAATTGTTATGGTTGAAAAAGACTGGTTGGTCTAAGCCCATCAAGTCCAACCATTAGCCTAACACTGCCATGTTCATCACTAAACAGTGCTCCAAAGTGCCACACCCACTCTTTTTTTTAGCACTTCCAGAGGTGGTGATTCCACCACTTCCCTGGGCAGCCTGTTCGAATGTGTGACCACCCTTTCTGTGAAAAATATCCAATCTAAACCTCCTCTGTGCAACTTGAGGCCATTTCCTCTGGTCCTGTGACTTGTTACCTGGGAGAAGAGACTGAGCCCTACCTCGCTACAGCCTGCTTTGAGGTAGTTGTAGAGAGCAATCAGGTCTCCCCTCAGCCTCCTTTACTCCAGGCTAAACAACCACAGCTGCCTCAGCTGCTCCTCATAAGGCTTGTGCTCCAGACCCTTCACCAGCTCCATTGCTCTTCTCTGGACTCACTCCAGCACCTCCTTCTTGTAGCTGGGGCCCAAATCTGAATACAGGATTTGAGGTGCAGCCTCACCAGTGCTGAGTACAGACAGACCATCACTGCCCTAGTCCTGCTGGCCACACTGTTTCTGATACAGGCCAGGATGCCGTTGGCCTTCTTGGCCACCTGGGCACACTGCTGGCTCATGTTTCCCTGGGTTCTTCTCCACCAGGCAGCTTTCCAGCCACTCTTACCCAGGCCTGAAGGATTTCATGGGGTTGTTGTGACCCAAGTGCAAGACCCAGCCCTTGACCTTGTCAAACCTCATACAATTGGCCTTGACCCATTAATCCAGCTTGTCCATGTAAAATAAAAGATGAAAATTTTTAGTGATACTGCATATCTTCTTTCTTACAGACTCAAGATAACTTATGATGACTTATGACTAAGATAACTTTGTAGTGAATGTATTGTTTTGCTGCTTGCTTTCTCCTCAGGTTTGCCAATTTGTTGTGTCTGTCAATGGCCTGAATGTTCTCCACGTGGATTACAGGACAGTAAGCAACCTCATCCTGACTGGCCCTCGAACAATTGTGATGGAAGTGATGGAAGAAATGGAGGCCTGAGAAGGCAAAAAAACTCTTACTGGACATTTTTGTGGGAGAAATACAAAGACCATGGAGTGGCATGACACAACGTGGCAGAACATTGCTGTGTCTAAATAGATGATTTTGCTTTTGGGGGAGGGGGCTCTCTTGCATTGAACAATAATAGCACTGGTGATTATGCTAAGATGTGAACAATAAATACCAGCATATTTTCACTACAGACTTTTCTTTACCCAATGGAGACAAGGTTAAGGCCTTTAGGTTGTCTCCTCCAGCCATGTCTGCCTTGGTCAGAATGGTTTCAGCCTGAGGCCTTGCATATTTCCTCACAGTCCACCACTGGATCAAAGCACTTCAGGAGGTGAAAGAGCCAAACACTGTGGCATCAGGATGTCACAGATGGTTTGCATGTCATTTTTCTATTGGTAAGCAGCATCCCCGTGTCCAGCTTTGTCCCTGGAGCACGTGCAGTCACAGTTGCTCTCTCCTTGGGCCAAGGGACAGCTGACTAAATGCTGGCTTGATTGCAGTCAAACACAAATGCACTGCAAATGCATGAGGAAAAGGTGTCTGTGCTCTGTAGAGGATTCTCTGATAGGAATGTTTGGGCCTGACTGAATACGTGGGTTAGTCTAGAAAGAAAATGGAAGAATATGTGGTACTTTACAAAATCTGCCTTTGAAAATTGGTCTTCTGGTTTCAATGCCTATGCACTGGTTTAGGTGCTCAAGCATAAAATACTGATTTTGAGGTTTTTTTCCGTATCTGTAAAGGAACAGCCTTGCTGTTCATCACTTTGGAGAAATTTTGGACCCCTTTATTTCCAGAAGAAGACTCATGTTTGGTGGGTTGCAGTGGGAAGTTCACAGTGTTAGCATTAGGAATGGTACATCCAAATGCTCCAATAGCGAAAGTACACTTCAAATTGAAGCAATGTACTTGAATGTACACCAAGTTTGTTAGCACTTTCCAATGATGTGATGTTTTGTGAAGAACAACTTGCTGCACGAGTTGCATTTGACACTATTACTAATAAAACATTGTATTTAACTGACTCTCACTCTTTTTCCAATAGTAGGATTGCATAATTAACAAATTAATGAAACAAAATTTTTAAATAATGTATGTACAAATTCCATATTCTGCAGAATTAGGTGATTGCTCAGCTCAGTGGTAAGGGAACTGCATGGGTTTTCTTTTGTCTTTGAACTGAATAAATACATCCTTCTCCACAAAATTATAAATATATATTGCAGACTTTCTCTGCTGTCTAAATTATACAATTAAAGCTTGACTTTCTATATGCACATACCACAGATCCTTCAGTTATGGGGTGGGGAAAGTATTTTTCCTCAGATAATTTTGAAATATGTTTTGTATTAAAAATTGTTCTCACTAAATAAATTGTTTTTGCAGTATGTTTTTCACTCACTCAAACACTTTTACATCAGAGACAGAGCAAGTCTTCAAAATCACATCTGCCTGGATCTTTGAAGGTGGAAGTCCCTGTGTTCCTTGTGTCTGACACAGTAAAGCTGTGGTTCATTTTTCACCATGCCACTAATATGCAGCAGTACACCAAGGTATAAAACTGCAGCTGCTAACTTGATACTAACCTGGCACAAGAGTGTTTGGAGGATTTGTCCAAACTGTCATCAGCTTTGACAGTTGTTTATCCCAATTGTACCCCCAAAGATTTTGGTACACATGTATAGACCATAGCAGGTCATATTCTACAGTTCATCTAAAATAAATGTTTGAGCACATACTGTTATATGTGACTGTAACAACTGTCAGTGGTACCCACTCAGAACAGCTGGAAAAAATCCTGTTTCAGAAATGTTTCAGTATGCTACAAGGTTTTTTGTTTCTGTGAATCCAGGAATGCTTTTCCAAATACATTTTTTCTTTTTTTTTCTTTTCTTCTTTCTTTTTTTTTTTTTTCTGGATTGATTTGATGGCTTGGATGGTATATCCTTTGTACCCCTTCAAAATATAAATTCTGCATGTTAGGCTAAGTTAAATATTAAAATGTGAAGGATTTTCGTAGCAAAATGCTAATGATTCTCTCTAATGCCATCGTGGATTCTTCTGTATTACATCTCTTGCCTTAGTTAATATTCTGCTACAAGTTCTCTGTAGCTTACAGATAATTAAGAAACTGGGTCAGAATTTGGCTTAATAATGCATTACAGAGTGCACTTTAGACTGGAGCAAAAAGAGTGGGAATGGGGGCAGGGCGAAATCTGTGCATTTCATTATGTTGCAGATTGGAGATGGCATTTTGATTTGCAAAATACATTAGTCTCTATCACAATTCGAGCACCACGACTTGCCTGCTGTTAATGGAGATTTCCATATTGTGTTCTCAACTTGATTGGCAATCTGGAATGTAATTAATTCTTTCCCTCTTCAATGTGACAAAGGTATTCAAATTATCTTGTCAATGAAATTTTGTATTTTGGAAAAAAAAAGGATGCAAAGTAAACAATTCAGCTATGAAATGTATCCTTTCCAATTAGACAGCAGTTTGTCTCTGCACACAGTGCTGCATATGCTCCAGCACATCCCACAGGAGCCAGTGTCAAACTCATGCACTTCAGAGGGCACAGGACTTTGAATATAACAGAGCACCTTGTTTCCTGCAGAGTGCCAGGGGACACGTAAAATTATTCACAGAATGAGGCATTTCAAGAGATGCTTGAATATCACAGTGTGGACTGAAGCAAGAACCCAGAAAGAAACCATCCCCCTGGCATCAGCAGTAACGGCTTCATTTAAAAAGAGAGGCATTTTTGTAAGACTTGTTCTCCTATGTGATGGCATTTTGGGTTACTGTAGATCTTGTGAGATCCTCTAATTAAACTTTAAGCCTTAATAACACAGATTAGTGCCACTCCCCTGCCCATGTACATGTGCAAATCGTTTATGGAACATCTTCAAGCAATATATATACTTAATCAAATTCAAGTAGCAGTTAAGATAATGGGAGCATTAATTCAGTGCGATATTTCTCATATTTTTCTTTTATTTCCTACAAGATACATTTTTTATTTACTTATCAAGATCAAATACAATATATGCAGTATTGAACACAGCTATCACATGGAAGGCATTTCATTCATTAAATGATGCAATAAAACACTTCTGGTGTATCAGAATTTGATTGTCTGCATTTTGGGTCTCCATAAAACCTGAAAATAAAATTTTCAGAATCAAAAAGACACAGTGGTGTCATAGCAGTATCTGAAGTACCAGTAGGCCTGTCCTACTATACTCTCTTCTATGAGATTACCTTCAGGAAGAGGTTTGGGAGGAAGAAGTAATGCAGGACAACTGTTTCTCTTGGTATGTATCTTTTTTCTGGTTATATCCTCACTAATAACTACAGAATGCTAGGGATGTGTTAAATTCTGTCCCACAACTACTGGTTTAATGGTCAGCGTGTCCCCTTAGGTCTCCGTGAAAACTGTCAGAGTGCAGTTCAGAGAACAGCATGAGATCAGAATTTGGGCACAGGGGTGCAGGCTTTGCTGTGCCTCTTGGCCTTAGGACTAGGGAACAGTCCCTGTACTGATTTGATGTACTAACATCAAAGAGAATTCTGAGGATTAAGAAGAAGAATCAACTGACTTCTTTCTTCATCTGCACTGACAGCTATGATGCATGGAAATTTCTTTTTCCCTATGGTTGGAGAGAGAATGATCAAATTACGGGGTAATACTCTAATAATTTCATAGTTTTTAATGTTAGTTCTGCTAAATAAGTATTATCCTGATTTTAGAGACAGGAAAAACTGAGCCAATATGTTTTGAAAAAGTATTTGCCTAATGCATGACGGATCAAGAAATCAATTGTAGCAATTATGAGTATTTTCTCCCCAGTGTATAATTAGAACTAGACCATTCATGGATGTGAAAAAGCATATGTATGTCACATGTATAAGTACAGCTAGACCACACCACTCTTCAAAAAAAGTGAGAGAACTTCTAACATTTTACAATAAAACTGTCATTAAAAGTTTCCATAAATCACTCTTTATAAATTTGTCTTTCTCTGGTGAGTAATGTGGCTTGTATTTATCATTTATATGTGTTACTTATAAAAACAGAAATACTAACTGCCAATGCAATAATTCCCTTTGTATACACACAGTGTACATAAAAATATAATTAATGTTCCAGGGAGTCTGAGTGATTTTAAACCATTAGATTTCTCTACAAACTTCTGCATAAATAAATATTTATACATTAATTTTTTTAAGGAGCCATTAATGCAAGAGAGAATTTAAGAATGTCAAAGGGTGTCACAGGACTCGATGATGCAATTAATGACAGAATTAATTTATACTATAAAGACAGCGTTTCAAGTATAGTTACTCAGTCTTTGTACTTGCAGTTCCTCAGGAAAATTCAGAAATATTCAGAAGGGAATAGCTGTAATTGTCAAACTGAATGCCCCCCAGAAAAATGGCTGCTGTTTTGCAGTTCACTATCCATTCTCATATTGGCCATGGGGGCTGTGAATTTCCTATACTGTTGAAATTCAAGTTTTATGAGCACACACTTAAATCAAATGTTTAGCTTCAAGAGCTCACATTTGAAGCAGACACTGTACTCTAGGTAGCACAAATCGCTGTGATGCCTCTTATATAGAAATGCTGCAATGCACACTTAGGTTTCCCATGCTATGCCAACAGAGATCTCTCTACAACAGTTGCCTACTGGCTTTTCTATGGCCCTGTCAAATAATATTCATCATTTCTTTTCAGAATTTGCAGTTGATTTGCAGAGGAAGTTTCTCTTTTTAGATGCAACTGCTTGCTTCTATTCCTAAGGTGCTTCTACCCAGAGACATCTATAAAATGATCTGTGTGGTACATAGAGAGCTAGTGGCATATTGACCATGTCAAACAGTCATTTACATCATGCCTTCTCAACTCAGGCACATGGTGTCCTTCTCAGGCATGTCCTGGGCAGGGCCAAGGGTTGGACTAGAGGATCCTGAAGGGTCTCTTCCAACTCTGTAGATTCTGTGATTCTGTGAACTGAACACCTCCTCTGCTGGGAAATGCTCCCACTGCTCCTGCTGCTACTGCTGCTACACACACCCAAGCAGGCCAAGCTGGGGAACAGTGATCTAAAAGACAGCCCACCAGATTGTTTTGCTTCTAGTAGTGATTTATGGAGATATATATATATATATCCATAGTTAGTAATGGTCCTACTTTCTCAGTGATTTATGGAGATATATATATATCTCCATAGTTAGTAATGGTCCTACTTTCTGC